ATAGAACACTAGTTTTGTAGAAGGATCGCGCGAAGAGGTGCGTCGAAGGGTCGTGGGTTGCGCAATGCAGGTCGAAGGGTCGAAAACCCAGAACACTCCCCCCATGCGCAGCCCACAGCTCGGATGAGCGTTTTCGGGACTTTGTCGCGCATGCTTGACTTTCGTTGGAAATCGTGATCTTCTTTGAGCGCGCTGGCGCGTCGCTCGTCCACTGGACGCTGCTGCTTGGTCGCTTCCTGGAGCAGGTCGATGTTGAGGTCACTGGTTGTGACGAGAGAAAGTGCATCTTCGAGTTGATCGGGACTTGTCGACGGGATGTCGGCGCCTTGCAAAGGCTTGGGTCCTTGGTAGTTGAGGCAGATGTCCGTGAGTATCGCATGGGAGGCCTTGTCGGAAAGCCAGTCGAGCACTTCCGTCGTGTCGCGGCTGTAAGTTTCCTTGAGAATGTCATGGCTGGTTGAGCTCGTTGCGTGGAAGCTGGATTCGAGCACCTTGAAGTTTGTCGTCGAGCGTGACGTTGCACAGCTCGAGTAGGGCGCCGAGAGACCGACGGAGTTGGCTTCCTTCTCGTACGCGGATAGCAGTTCGCGCAGGCCATCAGTAATGCCAACCTCATACACGTCGTTGTGTCGTTGAGACATGTCGTAGTAGTTGAGGTCAACGGCCAGAGCTTGGTTCCGCGCCGGCCGTACCCCGCCCGTCGATGGCCAAGCGACGTAGTCCGTGGTCGGTGCGTCCGGAGGCCGCGGCTCGTCGTGTAGCGGCCCTTGAGGACCTGGGCATGGCGGCGAGGGTAGCGCCGCACTGCTCGAGTGGAATGTCGAGAGACCGACGGAGCTGATGTCCGTGTCGTACGCAGATAGCCGTTGGCGCAGGCCATCAATAATGTCAACCTCACAGACGTCCTTGGGTTGTGGAAGCACGTCGTAGTAGTTGAGGTCAACGGCCAGAGCTTGGTTCCGCGCCGGCCGTACCCCGCCCGTCGATGGCCAAGCAACGTCGTCCGTGGTCGGTGTGTCCGGAGGCCGCGGCTCATCGTGGAGCGGCCCTTGAGCTCCTGGGTATGGCGCACTCGACATCATCTCAGAGGGCACTTGGAATATCGCGGTGGTGGTAGACAGCGACGCGGTCGCGAGCTTCTCCGCGATGCCACCTTGGACCTTCCGACGCATTGGCACGCTGATGTCGGGTGGCTCAGAGATGGACTTGATTGCGGCGTTGGTGCCGCTGGCATGAGCCTGGATTGGCGACATGGTGTCGCAGTCGTCGTGTTGGACTTGGACCTTGTTCATCGCAGTGCTGCGCTCGACTTCTTCCTCGTAGACTGGTTTGCGGCTTGTGCGCGAGTTGACGTCGCCGTTCGAGTTTGGCGCTGGTGCCGACGCGATGTGGATCGCAGCAATGTCGGACGTCACTTGGTCAGTTGTCACGGGAAGGTCTGTCACCGAAGGCATGAGAGCCTCTTCGTTGACGCTGGAAAAGTCGTTGCTCTGGGGCTGGCAGCTTGTCACTGCAGGCGGCTTGGCTGCCGTCGCTTCGGTCAAGTTACTGGTAATTGGCATCTTCGTCGCCGCACAAGTCAAGGTGAGGCTTGGCGTGTCGCCTTGTTGCTGCGGTTGCAAAGTCGCCTGCGGCTGGACTTGGACGTCACTGGGCGCCGCTTCATGAGGAGGGCTCGTTGCAGTTGCTGTTGCGTCGTCATTGCCGTCTTCGGCCGACCGACTGAGCTTCGGGATCGCGATCGTCGGAGGAGTTGACGCTGAGCTAGGCCACGGTCCTTGTCTGGGCTGGAATGGACTCGAGTCCTCGGGCATGCGTTGCGAGTGACGATCAAGACTTGGCATGCGGCCGCCTTGACACGAAAACATGGGTTTCGTTGTCGTCGGTTTGGCGCCCGGGGCGAAGAGCTTGGTCATGGTCTTCTCGTAATCGACCACCTGCACTCCCGCAATGGAAGTGACGCTGTACGCTGTTCCGAACGACACCATCGGAGGATCGGGTGCCGCGGGTCCAAAAGCCGGCGCATGTTGGCTGCCGGAAGCGGGCGCTCGAGAAAGTCGCCCGTGTTGGTTGTAAAACCCAGACGCTGGCTCGACTGGCGTTGCTGGAAACGCCGACGTGGAGGAGCCAAGAGATGGAGCGTGCTGGTAGCTAAACCTGGGCGCCTGCAAAGACTGCCCATGCTGATTGACGATCTCTTCTTGCGCGTTCGGTAGCGCGGCGAGGTTCGAAGCTGTCGACCTGCCGTAGTCGAAGAGATGTCGGCCTTGGGGTACCCGTTCCTTGCCTTCGGTCGTCGGAGATGAATTAATTCTTCCTGGCATGGCCGCACCCGCTTGGCTGTCGAGAGGACCCTCCATCGTCATGTTGGTCTGGATCTCGAAGCCGTATGCAGCGAGCACGGCTTCCAGGCGGCCGTCTTGGATAAGGCGCTTGATCAGGGCACAGTCGTCCATGCTCTGATGCTCGTCCTCGACAGGCATTGAGAAATAATATTATTGTTCTCACCTGGGGATTGGTGTGGTGACTCA